AAATCAAAAGGAACAAATCAGAATCCGTTAACCTGTGTTTCTCGTGTTTTTATTATATGTCACGCAATGACGTCAAGATCAACCGTGATAGACCAATTGCGTCCGCTAAATCACGTGACCTATAGTGGGTATTTCAACAAACAGGGCGTCCACCAAAAGAAAAGTGTTTCATAAGCATCATGACTCAAACTACTGATGTGTTGGGTACTATACTGTAACTTCGCTGTATTGTTTGTCAACTACACTCAAAACACAGGCTGCTATGGGGTTGATACCCACTATAGGCCACGTGATTTAGCTGGCGCAATCGTTCTATTGGTTGAGAATGTTAGTATTGTTTTGTTCAAACTGTGTGTAACAGCCCATTCCGGTTTCTTTGCCCTGTCGTGTAAGGCCAGGTGTGCGGAACTTCTGGAAGACATCACTAAGTAAGTGTTACACTTCGTTCACCATTCCCAGTTTATTTGCTTACATCCTTGTTTCCTTATTTTCAGTGAGTAGTTGACCTTGTCTGAATGACTTGGCCGTACAGCTGGAATAACACATGTACACCTATACGGGACGCCTCTCGCTAGCGCCAGTGCAGGGAGGCAGCAGCCATTTGCCTAGGACTTTTGTTCTGTTGCTAGCCCTGATCAAGTCCTGCAGACATGGCTATGGGGCCTGGTCTCTCTCATTCTATATCCTGTCTTCAGTTTTTTTTTCAGTTTTCTGTTTGTTTCCCCTTGTTGATTGATTAAGGTTAACTAATTTTATAGTGCTGTTTTCCTGCCCCCTTTTGTACGGAATGTTTGCCAAGTAACTAACATACTGGTTAGTCTAGTAAAAGTAGCTTTCCAGCCAGAAAGTTATGCATTTTATCCTTTTCATGACTGGTTCCAAGTATGCTCTAAATGCTGTAATGTTGTGTAAACCGACACGAAATCGAAACTGACCCGCCCCGAAACCGACTTGGGGTCGGATCGGTTTTCTCAACATTTCATTCCGATCCAGTCGGTTTTGCATTGGTAGTTTTCGGGTTGGGTAAGCTATATTGTGAAAAAACCGAAATAAACAGAAAATAACCGAAAAACCGAAACGGGAAATTCACGGGATGAATTTACTTTTAGGAGCTTCAGATTACATAGCCAAAATTATATATTTCCTAGTATCAGCGATGGTCTTTCATGCATACGATGAAAAATCGTTTAATGCGCAATTGCGCAGCTGGAACCCTCGCGCAGTCTAGTTGCCTATGGGGATTTTACATTGGTTCGTCTTATCACGTTCGATAATTTTTGGAATAATTCCTGACTCAAACCACCCCATGAACCAATCATGTTGAAATTTTACCTTTGTCTTCCTTAGGTAATATATATTTAGGAAAAGTCAGCTGGAGATGGGTAAAAAACGAATTCCATTAACGAGCTTTCACGTCCGGCGATAACGTACCTAGGTCTCCTTGTTCAAGTACGTTTGTTTTGACTGCGCGTACTTTCGTGAAAACGAGATTGTACAACGTTGCAAAGATTTACTTACCTGCAGTCGATGGGTTCTAGATTCGGTTGAGCTGGTCACGCAGTTGTTGTTAGCAAAGCTTAGATAAAAATAATATTACAATCTTTCGTAATTGAAGTAGAATATTGCAGTTTATTACTCTATAAATTATAGAAGTTTGTCAAATATTTTGATCTGTTTTTACTTCGGCTTTTACTGACAGACTGCCATAAAACTGTAAATTCCATCTGCGTACGAGACTGCCGCATTGCAGTGTTCTTCATGCAATTTAGATTTTCGGAAGTGAAGGGTCAATTTTTGGCAGGATATTTCTCCTTTAGGTCAGGTGAGTTTTCAGTTTCTAGAAAATATTTTCCAAAATCCCTTTTTTGAGTTGGATTTTTAATGAAATATACTTAACGAAGAAATACTACAAATTCTAAAATCTTTGCACCTTATTTTTCCTGTCTACGGGTTCCGGAAGCCCGCCATCAGGGGTCAACTTCCAGGCTCTACACCGAACAATGTGCATGGTTTGCAGATATGCGGGAACTTTGTAGCGCAAGTCACTTCGTTAGGACATGGGACAGTACGACTACATGTACGTCTGACAAGTATACTCATATTCATAGAGTAGCCCACTGACATAAGTTCAAGCACAAGACGGATACAATCTGTTTAAAATGAAGGATTGGCTCAAACCATACGTTCGGATTTTTGGGGGTTCGGTTGCGTTTTTGTCGGTACTGGTAGATTTTTCCCCGATTTTTTGTCGGGTCAGTCCCTGATTTCTTCAGATCAGTTTCGGTTCGGACTCGGTTTATGTCTTTAATGTTTCTGGTCGGTTTGGCCAGATCAACCCTGCCCCAGTCCCATGTACATTATTAATGCTTAGACCAAGCCAAAAAAGTAACGCCAGTTGATGAAATACACTTTTAGTGTGTATATCTAATGTTGTGGTGATCAATTTCAAATAGCTATAGTAGGCCTACCTTAGTGGATGCCTGTATCTCGAAGCATGGTTCTTGGGTGATACGATTCACTGAACACGAAAATGCTGGCCTGATACGTTTTCGATGAATGGCTTGTTTTGCTCTCGTAGGCTAATTTGCATGGGGTATGAGATGTTCTTGTAATAGCTAATGGTTCGTACAGAGGCCAAAACCCACTTTTTGAGCAAATGGGCCAACACAAGAATGCCCAAAACTCAGTTCGACCGAGCCCTCGCTATTGGAATGCATGATGCAGTCATGTCAGCATGGGATGTGATTAACGCCTCAATGCAGAAACTACGCCGAGGGAGACACCCGCACGATCGAACGAATCAAGGCACCTTTCCATACTTTTTTGGGTGCGTTGCATACATGATGCGTTAATGCGTTTCACTTTCACGGACACAAAAATCACCACCATTAACATAACACACGCGTGCGCCGCGTTCGGCCGTCGAAATCGTACCGGGAGCGATTCTGACGGATACGCAACGCTTGGTGCAAGTGTTGGCGTGCACACAGCAAGGACACCATTATAGGGTTGGTGCTCAGCCTGTCAGAAATCGACATCGTGCCATAAGACTCCAGTACAGATGCCCTTACAGAGATATCCCACTGACGGCAGATCGACGTCGGCGTAGGTTGGCATGAGCCCGCGAATACCGTGACTGGATGCAGAGGATGTGGAATCAATAACAAGTGTTATTCTCAGATGAACAACGTTTCTGTGTAAGCAATTGTGGGGGAAGAGTTCGACTTCACCGTCGTTGCGTCGAACGATTCTTCGACTGGAAGCCTGTAAAAGGATTAATGGAATTTGGATATTTGGTAAAAAATTGGCATCTTGTGTCCAGAAGTATGTTTCTGACATTGGTACCGAGTTGATTCGGAATATTTTATGTTGCATAAATCGCCTAAAAATGTACGTTTGTCATACTTAAATTTGGGAATAAGGAGGAAGTTAAGGCGCACTCAGAAAACTGAGTGAATGTCTAACGTCATTTAAAATTTTAGAGATTCAAAGATATCTAAATTTTGGGGGAAATCTGTTGATAGAGCATCTAAACTTAAAAGAGGTAGATTTGTGATACTAGTTGAATTCTTTATTGATCGGATAATGGCTAAATAAATTTAACATAACCTCAAATTTTGTGTGATTGCAAGTTGGCCAGCCCGCTTCCAATTCACCGGAGTGGACTCTAGAGGTTGCGTGTTTGTTAAAGTAGTTTTGTATCTTGTAAATACTTGTTTTCTTGGAGTTAAATAATTTAAATAAGTTAAATAATAATAAGAAGAAGTTAAATAATTTGTGTGTAACTCGCATCCTCGACTGTACTACGTTGGACTAATTGATTTTATTCTGATATGTTCACAGACGTGTGATGATCCCGTGAAAAACCTGCGACACTCGAGTTACATTGAATTTTGATACCAATGTTTCTTTGCTCCACCGAAGACTGGCCAAAAACGGCTGCTCCGCACTCGAACTTATTCCTGCCGTTTCTATTTCCGAAGGGACTAAACAGCTGAGCAATCTCAGCTCAAGAAAAAACAAAAAACAAAAATACCAAAACACAGACATTCAGGGAAACACGGATTAACGTGATGGCTGACGACTTGGCCGCGGGTACAACAGCGGTATCCTACCAATCAGAATACGTGTCACCTTCAGTTCCTGCACTTCTGTCGCTCTTAGGATCCCTCGGTTTTGTAGGTAACGTCTGCATGGTGCATGCCATCGCCGCTCACAGGAAAATGCGCACCGTGCCCAACCTGCTGATTCTCAACATAGCAGTAGCGTGCCAAGTTTACCTGCTGCTGCCCGTGCCTTTCTACGTTGGCCGCCTCTTCAACAGTCTCTGGGATGTGCCCAATGGGCTGTGTAAGTTTGAGGCTTATCTTGCCGCCGTGGCCGGGTACGTCAGCGTCTTTGCGCTGACCGTCCTGAGCTGGGACCGCCACGAAGTGCTCTCCCTTCCTAAGGAGGCGCGCCATAAAGAGACCAGCTACGCGATGGCGTCCTCCCAGGCGATGGCCATGTGGCTTGGGGCCGCAGTACTCGCTCTCCCCTCCCTGGTATTCGGCAAGGTGGACTTCATCGCCGGAGTTTGCCGGTTCTCGACAAAGCCTGACGAAACGTCCATCAAGCAGGGCTTTGAGATTCTCAGGTTCCTGATCGGCTACGCTTTCCCCCTTATCATCATGGCCTCCTACTACCTGAAAATTGCCGTCAACGTTTACTGCGGCACCGACGCAAAGAGGTTTGCTTTTGAGCTCTATATAAGTCAAAAGGACATTTGCAAAACACTCTTTTGTAGCTTTTTGCACTATGGAAAATGGTATCCCCCCAAAACATCACATGCATGGTGTGTGTTTCCCAGGAAGTTCCCAATGCACCTTCTTTTCTACGTTCGACACAAAGTATTTTCACCAATCAAGAGAAATCTATGATAAAACTGTTGAAATTTAGATGCACGCCCTTTTGAGATGGACAGTTCGCGGATTTATCAAGTTCGAAGCCTACCCGGATCATGGTATACCTGGATTTAGGATTTGAGGTCCAGAAAAACAGGAAAGTCGGTATAAGGCTCATAGTTATGTCCCAATGGACATAACCATTGCACTTATCAAAATTATTTCTGTGACGCATCACTGTGGAAAGTTTCGATTGCTCTCACAAATCAACAAGCTACAATCTGTAACGCATCTGCAGCAGCTGTTCATTCGTAACGCACCACGGATAACGTGGCTTTGTGAGGGATTTTGTCAATTTGAAGCTTGAAATGAGGTGATTAAAAGTGGAGGCAAACTGAAAAGCAACAGTGCAAACCAGTAGGATACGGGATATCGCTCTATTAGAGATTATTTGACAAAATGCATCAAAATGGATAATGACAAAAATTCAAATATAAAATGCATTTTTAAGTATTGGTCTTGATTAAGCTCTTGCATCAAAACTTGACCATTGTCGACATGATATCATCAGCATGGGAAGTAGTGTAAGTCACAGAGTGTACTCAATTTTTGTGCTTCGCCTCGCCCACTCGATATTTGAATGAATCTGCAGTTCTCGTCCATTATTCTTATTTACTGAATATTTGCAATGGATTTACCACACAGGTTCCCTGACCCAAGTGATGCCACGGTCAGTCTGGTTCGGGACCGTGAGCGCCTGACCGTAACTGCACTGATTGTGAGCGTTTTCTTCACCGTGTGTTGGCTGCCCTACTTCTCTTACTTCATGCTGCTCGCTTACTTCGCGCAGTGGTCCCAGGCGCTCCGTGACGCCGCCTTGATTATGCCAATCGTCAACATGTGCCTGACGTCCTGGCTCGTATTCGCTGTCAGCTCCCGCCACCGGGAGTGCCTGTGTAGTGGTTGGCGGTCATCAAAGGACTGATACACTTACGACGCGCGCGAGGAAGACATCGACCTTGTTACGGAGTCAGAGAGTAACTGGTAATGCAATATCACGTTAAATCCGCCTACGGACTAATCGCGTGGCCATTTCGTCAAAGTTTCAACTGAGTAACATAATTATTATATTATAATTATTCAGTCAATTTCTTTGTTCATCTTTATAATTGATTTGTAAGCACCAAGTCAGTTTCCCTATATAGTTTGTTTCAAGATCTGTGCTCAAAAAGCGGGATCCTCCTCAAGTGATTCCTGTTCACCACTTCCCAGGTTGCATCGTGTAATTGGGGTGTGTTCCCTGGCTACAAGGTGTTTCGGTATTATGGCTTCTGACTAGCGCCCCCCCCCAAAAAAAGATAACCGGTAACAAAGCACATCAAGTACATGGTTTTACTGCTTAGAACTTACATGTACATATAATGTTCGAAGGGATTGGCGCCCTTATATCTCCAGGCACTCATCAAATTCCACCAACCCTGTCGCACTCTTCGTTCCAAAGTCACATCCCAACTTGTTCTTCCAGCTACTCGCACCTAGTCCTATGGTCATTGGTCCTTTTCACAAGGCAGTGCCTGCACTCTGGAACTCACTTCCAAACACATCAGGGATGCAAAAACTGATCATAACTTTCAATCTGCGTTAACTGCTCTTATTCCGTTTTTACCGGTACTAATGTATCATTTGGTCAATATGTAAAGCGCTTCGGGAAGTACGTATGAATGCCCTATAACAAATGGGAAGGACCACCAACGTAGCTGTACTGTCAGACATTAAGCCATTGTCCTTTGGAAACGAATCTCATAAGTGCTTTCTCCTGACTGATGCATCGATATCGCTGCGAATCTGCAGAAGCTGAACAGATTTTAATTTAAGCGAATTTCGCATTTGCATAACTATGCATGCAGTCTTACTGCGACCCGACCGTCACGGCATTATGGTCTAAGCTCTCTAGCCATTTCTGTAGTGGTACTGAGCTGTCACCGTACCGCTTGCGCAAGCGTCAAGATTTCATAATTTTATCACTTCGTGTCAAACAGTCTGCAACACTGAATGCAAAATGGCTGAGGGTATACTACAAACAAAGTTCTTCTAATTCTCTATTTATGAACTTGTGAAATGCTATAACAAATTAACCCCCTCCCAAAAACAAAACTAAACAAAAAACTAAACCAAACAACCCCCCAAAACTGGACGACATCCACCATTTAAAAAGAACTGTATTGTATTATTGTATGTTCCAGCTTTTAATGTGGTTCACATTAAAAGCTGGTTCCATTTTCGTATGAAGATTGTAGACTTGGTTGATAATAAAACGTGCATTGAATAAAGCAAAAAACAAAAAAGTACTTCTTCCGGTTTCCCAACCGACCCTAATTTTTCGGCGCGACCCTAAAATGTTATTGGCAAGTTAGAAAAATAAATTTCAAACAAATTACAAAAAATTTGAAATTAATAAATTCTGTTGTCTTTTGTGTCTTCACATATAACTTCCTCCGAACAACCTTTCTTCACGTTAAAACGTTTTATTTAAATGTTTTGCTGCTTACATTTGCAACTTTTGAAAAGAAACTTTCGTTATATTTCGTTATTTTCACGAGTTCCCCTCGCGTTTCGCTGTCGCAGTGGTGAAAGCGCGTGCGCGAACATCTATAGAACACTGTAAACCCTACAGCTGCAAGTCGAAAAACATCGATGTTGCAAGCAGAAATTCGTCTGTTGTCTCTGTGAGTACTTTTTATTCTTCAGGAGTTAAATTTGAGGATGTTTAGCGAGCGTGCGTCGGCAAAAATTCCTGCCGCGGCACGAGGTTTATTGCCCACCCGTCTATATGCATCATCGACTCTTACCATCCGATACGACAATGTTGGCCTGTTTGCCGTCGTGATTACATGACTACCATTGGGCTATAGTGGTATAAAACGTCCATAAACCTTAAGAATTGTTGACTGTAGATTTTTTTACGTAGATTAAGGCAAGTTTTTTTTATCACTTTTTGAGGCATTTTTAGGTAGCTTTTGTCACCATAATTGCCATTCAATCAGCACAAAAATTTGACCCCCCCAAAAAATTCCGACCTACTGACCCTACTTTCAAGAGGCATGCAATTGGAAGGATAACTACTTTTTTGGCCTGATCCGATGATTGTCCTCTAATGCATCATTTTACTCAGCATGGACAAAAGTCTTGCAGGAAAAGGTTACTGGTCAAAATGTTGACATATTGCCTTGTAAACTGGTGTTGGACTATTTTGCGTCTTTTTCATCTTTTTGTCTCGTGCAAGTCTAAACAGGTGCCGTAGTAGTCAAAATTATTGGCTTGTATCAATTCATGCGGGCGTGATGGAGGAAGTGTAATTTTCCCCAGACACTGTGAGAAACAATCATGCAACTGCCACTTTAGACAACAAATGGCCGGCTCCTTGGATGGAAGCCTATATAGTAAATTCTTGGAGAATTAGCGCATTAAACCTCACCAATAAATTTCTTTTACATTTGATCCCTCGAGCACGTTGCATTTACGTCAAAACGCAGCTTCTAATCTGTACAAATTCATTACTGGTAATGGAAGCAATATTGCTATTTTAAGCCCGCACACGGGTAAATTGAGATTTCATTATTCCAACTGATTGGTCATTTGTAACATGATAGAAAAGTTAATGGTGGTACCATGGTAAAGTATAGCCTTGTTCTCCCACCAGAATGAATTATAACCTTAATTGATACGACCTTGTCAGCCATTTTTGATTCATGTATTTATATTAAATTGCGTTTTCGCGGTACACGTACTGTAATACCTTTATGAGCTACAAAGAAAAACGGTTATTTGATATAACGGGTTTTTTCCTTACCCAACGTATAAAATTGATAAACACTGTATGCTCAGTGCTTGTCCCAGAGCTTGCAAAAAATTCACAAGCTTCCTCGGGTGGGACTCGAACCCACGACCTCATGCTTACTGGTGAAGATGTCTTGACCACTCGACCACCGCGTTTGCCGGGGTCGACTGGCCGGTCCGAGTCAGGTGAAGCAGCGGGTACCGCGAACTATTTTCAAGATGTATATTTGCGTTGTAGAGATGTTAATTGACATAACGGGTGGCAAAAACCCGTTTTATAAATTAACATCTCCCCAACGCAAAAATACATCTTGAAGAAACGGTTATCTTTATTGATTCAGCAAGTCATACTAGACCCTTAGTACATGCAATGACCACGTTCATCATTTGTATATTTCCTTTGTTTAAATAAAAAGAACACTGGGTGTATGGGGAATGCAAAGTACATGTAAGGCAAAACAATACCAACAACAGGTATGGGTCATAGAGGTTTTTGTTGTTTGTCTTTTCTCATGCATAACAAGCCGAACACTTTTCACGCGCAAGCCATATCGCATAATATATTTATAACGTAACTATTTTGGCCAAAGATCAGTTCAGAGATATTTGAGAAATCTAGTCAGATTTACAGTTTCCAGAAAGTGGTTTTATCAATTTCACAAAAGCATTGCCCCTACCAAAAATCACACTTAAATAAAAGTGTATATGGTGAACGATATACATGTACCTTATTTCAGTGGACAATTGCTTCTTGTTGAAATACATTTTTTTCCAACAGAAAACTGGAGGTCTACCCACTTTTTTTAGTATCAATTGTTATGATTATTGTTACTATTATTTTTTTTTACCAAACCCGCATAACTCATATGAATTAGTGTATTTAATGTGTTTCGTTTTCAATTGGTGGAGGCAGTAATTTGAACTCTACAAACACTGTAACTATAAACTTATAAACTGCAATGCTGATAAATTGTACAATGACAACTTTTTTCGTTTAAACGCTTAGAGAAAAGCGGCATCGCCCCAGCTGGTTCCTTTTTCATAAAGATGTCTAGCATGTAGGCCTACTGCTCAGCAAACTTATGCACAAAGAAAACAAAACAGACGGAAACTATACTGCAAAGAAATATACGGAGTAAGACGTTTTGACCGGTAGCTTGGTTTTGCTGTGAAGGTTTCTTCTGTCTTTATTTTCAAATTTCGGTGGTTCACGAGTTTAAACGGAACCTGACTCGTGGGAGGCTCCAACTCACGGGAGTCACGAGGGTTGGGCGAGGGGGTAGTGTCAGAGTGGCAGGGCAAGAGGGAAAAGGAGGAGAAGGCTACATAAATAGAAGAAAAGGAACTGAAAGGAAATTGAAAAAGTTACTTGAAAAACTCAAAATCGACCCTTCTCTTAATGGTTTATAATTCATTGTTGATTGGTGTTTTGCCCCTGGGACATTCCAGCCACCCCCAGGGGCGTATCCAGCTTTTGGGGTGGGATGGGGCTGGGGATTCAAACGCAAAAGCGGCTTTGGGCTTATTTGACATGATGTTGGGGGATAAAAATATCAAAAGCCTTACTCACGGTCCCGAAATCCTAGTTTTTATTTTATTGTGTTGTTTTCTTAGGCTTTTGGTGCTAATATTTAATACATAAATATTATAATAAAAATTTTATAAATAAATATTGAAGTGAGAATTAAAGAGAAAAAATCCATCGGGGAAAGTTGCCCCCCCACTGGATACGCCACTGCGCCACCCCTTAGAAAAAGTCGTTCCCAAGAAAAATCAAAGAAAGACCAAACTGAAGGATTAGGCCCTAGCTTTGAATTTCTCCTCCAGGTCTACTATGTCTACGCCGAAGATAAAGTTTAGCATTGCCAGTTAAGTTGAACCCGGTCGTACGGCTGATTTCAGCATGGGTGTCATAATTGTTTTCGAAGAACGGAAGGAGTTTCATATACGGACAACGTTAATAACAGCCGTCAGAAAGTGATGACATGTTCTAAAAAGTTAAAAAAATTCTGAAGCATGAAAAGGCACCCTTTTCAGAAAAGTCTCATGGCTTTGTGTACAAGGCACCAAGTGTTGTCTGTACGTGGAACTCTTTCCCGAAGAATATTGCAGGATTCGAGGCTCGCACTGGCAACATATTAATGTATGTAATACATTCAAAGCAAATTTTATATATATTCTTAAACTCACCTTCAGCGGTTCATGGACTTCCTGGCAACTTGTACGTACATGCCGTGCAGTCGATCATGCTGGCCTATCAAGAGTCATCAGTAGTGTTGACAGTGTACTTGTATATACCGTTGCCAAATCCAGGAACCAGACTGACAAGAAGTGTTGGTCTTTATCGCTATATCAGTTTTCACGCTCCATTTCTAAATCTCTCGAACAACGTTACATCGCCAGCTATGTAAAGACAAAATAGGCAGAAGAGTGGGGGGGGGGCACAATTTTCCTCTCAGCAAGTGCTTTCCTCTAACCACCATTTTGTATGCCAATGGGTCCACCTTGCTTATGACAGATTTCACTCCGCCATTTTTTCTCTTCAAGAAATACATGCATATGGAAGACTGAATAATATCGGCAAAAATAGCGCCGCCTAGTGACACTGAGGAAAAGAGTAGCAATGAGTGTTTCACTGGAAATTCAACTGAAGATATTGACCAGGTCAATTTTCTTATCAATGTCACAAATGTTAAACATGTATTTTGTTCAAATGCTTCCTTCCTCTCTTGTAGGCATAGCCTTAAAACAACAGCCTTCAATTTTCGGGCCCGGGTCTGAATCACAGACGCGTACGTACAATGAAATATGGACTCGCAAAGCCCTTAATCAGCTTATAGAGTCATTGAATCCATTCGCGGCCATTTTACCGAGCCGAATACAAAGCTTTCCTGCAGCAATGCCCACCATTGTTCTTCCTGACGTCTCAACCCACGCTTTTGCGTTCAGCTTGGTAAAATGGCCGCCGACTGGCTTCTTTTTCATACAAAGGCGTTGCAAGTCCTGGGCCAATTTCATAGAACTGCTTAAGCACAAAATTTGCGTATGTGCGAAAAAACACATTGCTTGATGAATCAGTTAACCAGCCAAAATTCTATGTGATGTATATTGTTTTGGGATTGTATTTAGCTGTTTTTTGGTTAGCACGACATTCAGATAGAGTTTCAACTGGTAACCTTTGTTTAATTAAGCAAAGTTTTTTCCTGCTTAAGTAAATTTTGTGCTTAAGCAGCTCTAGGAAATTGGCCCCAGCTGATTTTTTTTTTATAAATGTCTGTGGTCTGAATATGCCCGCAGCCTCAATATGCAAATCAGGCCGGGGGTGAACGCATTACACCAAGACCAGTTGGAAGCCACAAGTCCCAAAATGCCGCCAGAAAGGTCAAATATTTCTGTGATCGATGCCAGTCGCCTGTTGTTTAACTGACATATTTTGTAGCCTACCAACTGTAAAAAAAAGCCGTAATTTGTTCAGCTGTAAAGCCCCTGGAAGATTTAAACGGATTCTAAAAGAGAAGGCAACACATACTTACAAAGGGTTTGCTTCACTGGTTCTCAAAATGCTACTTTACTTTTAAAACAGGGTCAAAGGTCAAGTTAGTATCTAAAAGTTCACAGTGACCTACTTTTTACTAATCTTAATATTCACAATTTTGCTGATTAGACCATATTATTCTCAGAATTTTGATAACATATTTGTATACAGTCGGTAAAAACTGACAGTTATGATTAATATTTACTATTAAAAGCAAAGCATTTTAAGCTAAAATTGTCTACTATGATTTCTGGTGATCTCTGCCCTGACCACATGGAACAGCAGATCATGCAAAAAAATTGGTTTACTTTTATTACTCATCAGTGCCTGCGAGCACAGTAATTTTTATCAAAATTGGAACACATAAGGTCAAAAGGTGTGTTGGCACATGGATGATCCATACGTCAGAAACACAGCAAAGTTGTTTCAAATATGCAACTACCTCCTCAATAAAGGATTAAACAATTACAATGAGCCACTTTCAAAACATGTACCACATGGTTTTGTCAATATCTGATTGTAAACATAACCAGCTCCAGTCACGACTTGTTAATTTAAAAAAAAAGGCCCCAAACACGCTTGTTCGAAGAATTACTCTAAAAATAAAACCCATTTGTTTCATCTCAGAAGGCAAGAAAGTTTATAAACTTTTTCGGAATGTCTGCATTTTTTCCTCTTTAAAAGTGATAAAAACCAATTTGTCAAAACACAAAAAGTAAACATAAACTTATTAACAGTGCGTGTCATGAGGTCCCAAGTTTTCTTGAGAACAGTTGAGAACAATCCATAACATGCATGGAACCAAAACCGTATGTGGTTTTGCACCGGAGCCACTTCTTTCACATCCCTGTGTAAATGGTCTGTGGTTAAACTGAAAATTATCTTGAAAAGCATGGACCTACCCCATGACCCCCAAATGCCCCATGACATCAACAGACACAAATTACATATTGTCCATAAAACACATAAAAAAGCACACATAATTATGTTTGTTCAAACCATGTGTCTTTACTGTTCATCTTTAAGTACATCCACATGCACAATATTTCAGAACAAATGATTCCATCTTTCAGGCTACGACCGATTCCTGTTAACAAATTTAAAGCACTGTTAATGCATCCTGCTTGAAAGTTAAACGCTTTTTATGATTTTCCCATTCCTGATACTACAAGACTTCTTTGAATGATGCTGCAATCAGTAAGTTCCTAAGGACCTTGTTACATGTATGATGGGTTTGACTGGCAACACTTTCCATTAAATTTCAAAACTCTGAGAAATCCCCCCCCCATGAAAATCCACATTCTTAACCTAAAATCTCTGAACAAAATATATTGGTTCGTATGTCATCCAGCTTAGAGTATCTTCTCCCACTACTATCAAACAAAACACCAAAAAGAAATATGGCACAAATTTCTTTACTTGTGTTAAAATGGAGACTCCACTTTTATCAACCTAGATATTGCAATGTATTGCAAGGTAAGGACTCGCAGTTTATAAAATTGATTTATTTACAAAATTTTACGTGTTTACAATTATACAGTGGTCATGATCCAGTTTCCACTTGCAAAACATGTTTCATTACTCAGCAATTGTTGCCATAACTTCAGAAGCTGAACTAAGCGTTTGCATGACAAGTTGCCAACAAGCCCGTACATGATGCTACATAATTAAAGAACATCATTCAACAGGAGACAGGACCAAGTAAGTGGGTGACCACAACATATGAAGCCTCCATGCCCACAAGTTAACGGCAAACACTATTCAATCGATGTGGGGAATAATTTAATTTAACATTAAGTTTATCACCTTGCAAGTTTTCCTTGACTCCTTCAGCTTTGCCTTCTAGCTTCTTTTTATGAATTATATCCCCATCTAGACTTAAAACCCACAAACTCAAGTGGTGCCCGTGCCATTTTCTGAGTCTGATAAAAGCCAGCATTTGAAAAAGGGGCTGAGTGGTTAACACCTCGATTTGGACCATGAGCATAAAAAGCATGGAAAACAGGATCTGGTCAACTTCACACACCCTTCAGCTATTAAAAATTTTCCTTAATTTCTAGCTGCTATGACATACTTCTTGGTATCCCACGAGGAAAGATTCCACTAATATCACAATTATGCAATACTCCAGAATGTCTTGGACTGGTCGGTTCTTGAGCTTGTCTTGTATTTCACACTCTACACATTTTCACAGTAAACTCTGGAATTCCAAATAATTTCTATTAACACTGATTTGCATGTACACGTACCCGGTATGTGCTAAAAACATGTCTACTTCTGAAATAAGACTTGCAACATCAGGAGGAACTGGCCAATAACAAGCAAATAATAGGGACAAATTACTGAGGCCGGTTGCTCTTCCAATTCAAACTACATGAATGTACCATGTTTCTGCAGTGCTGAGAGTATAAAATTTAATGATATGCAAATCTGATATTTTTTGCTGGAAAGGCAAACCCTTTCATGCCTTCAGCAATGCTCCTTTCACATCAACAAAAACCCCAACTTTTACAATACATGTACATGTAGCTCTCTACTTTGTAATAGAGTGCAAGATCACAATGCAACAAATGGAAATTTCCATTAAAAGAGGACTTAATCATCTCAAAAAAATATGGCAATACATTAAAATTTTGGCATTTTGCCCAGTTTTGTATGGCACTGCTGGAACATGTCACAAACCCATTACAGTGTACACAAGAAGATAACACATTAATTTATCTCTATAACTGTGAAAGCTGCTTCAAAAGGCAAGGATGCAATTACTTAAATGGGTTGTCAGAGAGGAGGTTGACACATTACGGATTTTTTTGTCAGAACATTAATATTTGTCATTTTTGTCGGTAAGCTTTTGAAACTGCCAGCAAGAGACTACAATGAACAGCGCCATCTACAGGTAATGCCAGATACTCAGAGGGGTGATGTACACACATATGATGTCTCCAAACTGTACTGGTCTGACCACTACATGGAGATTGACAGTGTGTGGTGCCCCGATTCTGCCATGAGGCATGACCTTTCATGACAAATATCTCTCTGTGGTAGTCCCTAGGAAGGCAGAAATGTGGGCAAGAAACACCATACAAATCTTACATCCGCATTTGTACTGTCCCCCTTGAGAAAAGCGGCCATGGTGTTTTGTAATCTCAAAAAAATGACACCATGCATGGGCAAATGGGGGCGGGTTTGTTGTAAAACAATCCTGTTCGTAAGTGACTTCATCACAAAGGCGGATGCGCCATGATTTGCAGGCTCCCATTGGACAATTGCTGAAGTTGCGTGTTAACTTCCAGTTCCATGGTTCCATGTTAACAGTGATCAATGCATGTAACCCTATGAGCTCTGCACGTGCAGTGGGCGTGGTTTAAACTGAAGTGACGTCACAATTATGAACTGGTCTCCCCATATGTGGTCACAAACAGCACGAAGGATTTATCTGACAGAAAATTCTCACCAAATTCCAAAGGGACCAACTAGTACACTCTTTTAGTATCAAGAACGGCATACATGCCAATGCAATACACAAACCTTGCACTATAATACAAGGAAGAAAACTTTGCTACTAAGTTAACAAGAGGCTTGTTCTTACTTATGTGCAGCATATAATTTACATATATACATAATAGATTTTTCCAAACACTGTGCACAAACAAGTGGTTATGCGCGGCAAATAGTGGGAATTATGAATGAGAGTAACATAAAAATCTGTTCAACCCAATTGAAACTTGGCAGCTGCATTAAACATGAAATTTGGTAAAACATCACATTCAGAAAAGTGTATCATTTTGCAGATGAGATCTGGGGGAAGGGTTGGGAAATATGTCTCACTGGGCTGTGAGAGGTTAAGAAAAAGTTGTTTGGGAGACATCAGAGGTGTTATCCAGAGTCGTATTTCTCACGCTATTCACTAAACACAAGCCCCACCTGGAAAGCTGACACACTTGAATGTGAAACAGAGCCATTGAAATGGTTAGTTAGGACCTTATGGCATTAAGGCTTGCGTCACAACTTGTAAGAGGTTCCTGCATGGTGACAGACAGTTGCTTCAAAAGTGACCTGGGTCGCTGACATATACAGTCCAGTTTGTCAGCTTTTTCCTTCCACAAGCTAAAAAAAGTTTAAATGATGATAGTAACAAAAGAAAAAATGGCACCTATATTTACAAATTCTTCATGACTTTGTCGAAACCAGCCCATTCATTTGAGGGCTTTCTGTGGAATCGTTGCTCAGCGACCGTAACGTTTTTATCCCCGTTGCTCCAGCTGGGTCGGGGCTGCCCTGGCTCTTTTGCCGGATCTCAAAAATCTCTTCAATGGCCCTCTTGAAGCACAGGAAATTGTAGTCGATCAGTCCTACAAGGAGCCAAAAAAGGGAAAACCAATAAAGGTGTTGCACAGACATGAAATCTTCCCGGTTACTTGTTACCGTTCGGTGGGAAACTTTGGTGAAGTTTGTTATCCCACACACATGCACAAAGTAACCACTTCCTGCCGGGGATTCCCGATCCGGACTCGTATGCTTTATATGCGTGGCCGGGGTCTCCAAACTCGGACAAAGGGAACAGGGTTTTGTAACAAAAGACCGTACTCGGAACTCAAAAGTAGAGATAATCCAGCCTTGTTTTGAAACAGTATACCACAGTTTGGGGCATTTAGAGAAAGCGGATTACCACCGAGGACAAAAGCTCTCCACCACCACAGCGATGAGCCAAACAGCACCGTTGCATGCTAATCTGGCCCCTATTAAAAAGAGGTTAGCAACACACTGAGCCAGGTTTGTGAACAAAAGAAAAGTTATATAACACGCACCGTCTTGGCTCTTTTTACAAGGCTGCAAGCCTGGCTGAAATACTCGGGCGTCAATAGATTTTGTCTGTCAGGCTAGAGTGGATACGAAACAGTCTTTCACTTGTTTGTAAGTGTCCAGTAAATGAAGATAGGACTTTGAAAACAGAAAAAAATGATAAATATCCCGGCCCAGCATCATCAACATTAATAACTCCACTGGCTGGAAGTGGTTAACCACTTTGTGCTGGGGCATTTTTCAACGTTCATGATGCTGGGCTGGCATGACTATAATTTTTTCCGTTTTCAAAATCCTTCAAAAATTCATCATTCCATTTAGCGGTCGTTTATAGCCGCACGGAGTAATCTTTAGGCACTACTCTAAGTTGACAGGTGACCTTCATTGACGCCCGAGTATTTCAGCCAGGCCTG